TGTGTATGTGGCCGGCCCTTTTGATACTAGAGATGGGCCAACAGGAAGCTGGCCAGTGCTGGCTTTTTCACAGGGAGCTGCCTGTGCAATGTTAGTGGAGTTTGTGTGGATGTAAACCCATGGCAAGTGGCCGTTACAGCATTAGTTTGCCACTCAGCGATCCGCTTTTCATCTGTAGTTCATTTTGGATCATTGTGATGTCGTGAAACATCCATCAGATACGAAGTGTTTTGAGTTGAATTGTTAAGTGCCTGTAGTGCCTTTAAGTGCTTGCAGATGCTGGAAGTTTAATAAATGGGTAAAGTAAGTGACGTGACATTTGTGCACATATATGCACAGCTGTATGATATATACAGATAGATTAATTTATATTAATATATTAATTTAATTAAATATATTATTTGTATATATTTCAGTTCATTTTTGTGCTGCGCGAAAGGAAACCAGACGGCAGAAACTGGCATCTTATTTTTCTTTAGGCTTATTTTACAAAAGCTCAAAGATTTGTTTTTATTGCGAATGTACACAAATAATGGCAAACCTTTTACAATCCCGATTATCTTTAAGACTAAAAGGAGTAGTTTCTTCCACTGTTAGAAGGAAAAAATTCAAGTGATTGCGCCGGCGCCGCATGCGAATATAATATATATGGAAAAAAACTATGTAGTAAAAAAAAAATGTAATAAAATCTGTTAAGCCGTTAAGGTTAGATGTATGATTTCAGTATGATTTCTTTTTTCTTTTTTTTGGAAAGAAATTATAGAAATGAATACGTTTATTTATCAAGGATGCTTTAAATTGATATGCTAAAAATATAGCTTTGAAATCACAGGAATAAATTACATTTTTAAATATTTTCAAATAGAAAACAGTTAATTTAAATAGTCAAAATATTTCAAAATGTTACTGTTTTTGCTGTATTTTGGATCAAATTATATTTTCCTTACATCACAGTGAAATAATAACTACATTAACTTTGCATTTGTCAAAAAGAGGCAACATACATATTGATTGCATGGTTTGGCTAGCTTTAGCTAACATGGGCACAAACACAGTTGTCTGTAAAGTAATAGCCTAATTGTCCATCCTGCCACTAACCATTAATTGAATGAAAAACACTTATTTTCATTAAAATAACACATTTTCGAATGCTTACCTTGTCTAAAAGCGATTTCCTTGGGCCACGGACCGTCTTCACACTCGAAGCGATAATGGCGGATGGCAAAACGCCGGCTGGCGCGAACAAGGAGTTAGTTGATGTGACGTCATGTGGTCACATGACATGAAAACTTCTGGTTTAAAGTAAAAATACTACTCAAGTCAAATTGTTGCTTTTAATTTGTTCTAGGGGGTTCGTTATTTGCTTTAAGGCAAACTGAACAAAACAGGTTTAAACCAGAAACCATGATTTTCACTTAGTCCAATGTAAAAATGCACTTTAAATGAACAACACAGTAGTTTCACTTTTTTCAGTCTAGTTTGAAGTTAAAGATATTAATATTAATTAGGTGAGTCTGAGACGATTATTTGACAGTGATTTCACATTTCTTTTTTGTATGAAGGCTAAATACAAATAAAAGGTGAACATTAATTTGTTTGTGCTGTTTTTTTTTCTAAAATATTATATGGTTTTATATGAGGTGTCATAGACTTGGCAAATTAATTTTTCATAAGTTTGTATGCACAGACATCTGTTGTGGACTTTCTTGGCAGTTTTTACGAGGCTTTTTTTAATAGTGTTCATATCGATATCGGAATTATATCTTATCGACCGAAATTAAGAAATATATCGTGATATAAATTTTGGCCATATCGTCCAGCCCTAGGTCTGTGTATGATTAACTGTTAACATTTTTTTTTTTTTTACTTTTACTTTTATGCACAGCACATGCAAATGACTCTTTTTGTTTTTCAGCATGCAAAATGTGCATCAGATGGCATGTTAATTGAACTATCCTGATGTGTCGCACTTGTCAGAGCGTTTTTCTCCACAGGAATTTTGCATCGCAGCATTGTCAGCTTTGATCGTGTATACAATGTGATTTTTTTGTGTGTGTGATTAAATCACACCAAGCTTTTCCATCACCGTGTCACAATGACAGTGATGAAACGCCTGTCGACAGGTAGATTTCTCTGATAAAAAACAAAAACAAATGTCAAAACATAATATAGTAGCTTTAAATCATGTGGCTGATGAAAGCAATTGACAGCATTTTGTTTATTCGCATCTCTAAGACCCCCTGGAATTCTTCACTTAGTTAACACTCCCATACACAGTGTCAGAATCGTCGGTTTGTAAGCTAGTTGTAGTAATGCCCACTTATTGAGCTTTGACTCCTGTCATTAGATTGCATTAGCTGAAGTGTCATAGAGCGCTCGAGGGACAGCCCTGCTCCATCTTCTGCTCTGTATGCAGACAGAGGCCGCTGTCGATCCATTCACCCCCTCCTTACTTTTTTTAATTAAGAAAATTGATTGTCCTGTCCTTTTCAAAAAGCATATTATACTTTATTAAGTAAGTTCTTGAGTAGGCACAATAACAGAAGAGGAGCAGTTTAATATAGGAAAGGAAAAGGAGGTGGGGGTGGATAGTGAACTAGTGATTTGAATTGACTGGTACAGGAACGCAGCAAATGCCTGGGAGCTATAAAAGCTGATTATTTGGTTTCTGATGGCAGCCTGGAATGGCAATGTCTCACCGCTTCCCCTGCAAGTTTTAATGTAATTGTGCACCATATCAGGTATTAAAAACTTTTCTTGTCCTCCCACTCCATTCCTTTTTTTTAATGTTGGTTAAGATGTTCCTTAGTATTCGATCCTGATAGTAGGGCTGTACCTTTATTCTCAGAAATTGAGAGACAGTAAAAGGAAAATTTGAATTGGAAAGTGTGTCCATTAAGTAAATCAATAGCTTTCTAAATAAGTTCTGTAGCCTAATATGCTATGCAAATTTTAAATGAAGTTAATTTGACCCGCAGTTTATTAAACAGTAGCAGGGATGAAATCGTTTAGATTTAAACTGACTTTAATTGTGAACTGGTTTGACTGAATCGTTGAAAAGACCCGACTCAAAAGAAGAATTGCTCACAAATCTGTTATTTCAATGGCTTGTGGGCATGTTTACTCACCAGCTTTACACAAGAGTAATATCCAGCAGATGAAACATTTTAGAGCACAGCATAAATAAAAACGTGTGTATTCATGATGGATGTGCATTGCATATTTTATAATTCTGGTTCTGATTTTTCTCATTTAATGATTCTTTTAGTACTTTTTGAGGAAGAATATTTGGGTGTAAAGAAAGGTAATTTATATTACTTCACTAATTAGTCAAATGATGAGATCATGTAAGATTTCAACAGAACAAATATATAACTGTTTGCACAGACTTTTTAATGACATTTCATGGACTTATTATAGGTAGCAAAAAATAAATCCAATAATTGCCTTAAATATATTAAACAAAATACAAATACAAAATGTTAAAATGTATTTCAGTTAAAAATGAAATATTATTTGTATATTTAAAATATCACAAATGTATGTATTTATTGTTTATTCAATTAATTCAGTGTGTGGTGCTCTCTGTTCTCATGCTAAAGCACTTTATTATCATTATTATTATCATCATCATTTATATATCTATGACGTTTGGTAGCCTGGAAAACACATTTTTTAAAGTTCCTTTATTTCTAAGTTTTCCATGACATTGGGACTTGTTTGCAATGCATAAAAACACATGTACAAGATCAACAAATGAGTAATCTTGCTGTGTGGTGTGGTAATTAGCATTTAGTTTATTTGTCACTCTCATCAACACGTTTCAGATCAGTTACCGCACTGTGGTCTGAATGTAGTGTTATATCGTTGATTGCGTTTCTTGATATGATAAAATAATGATGTGCAGTTTTGGATGTATTATTATGACAGATTAAGAATGTAGGCTTTCAAGAACCGGCATCAGCCATTCGTTACATCTTTTCTACCGTCGTCAGTCACACTCGCTACAGACACCACTGATACTTGAATAAATTTCTATAAAACGCAATCTCTTTTAGGGAGTAGTAATATGACACAGACAGGTGCGTTTCTCATCAATATCAATTTTAAATGGATAGCACACCCGCTTGTAGTGTGTTTAGATGCTGTGAAGCCTCAGAAATCGCAGAGTGTGGATGGTGAGAGCGCTAGAGATGCTGTTAATGATATGACAGGGTGTGGTTATATTTGTGATTAGATTTTCAAGGCTTTTATTAACTTAGCTCTGGTTAAGGTGTGGCCCCTCTGCAAAGCATGAATTGCTTTATTTAATATCCATTTGCATCACAGACTAAATGAGGAAATTGCTCTCGACGGTCTGTCGAAATAAGACAGGCCCCTGTTTTGTTAAATCATGAGAAACTGTAATTGCCCTAAATTGAAACTGGCCAACACGCACACCATCTTGCAAATGCAAAATGATGTTTAACTTAGCACAGTGCTAAACCATTCATAGAAATTCGCTTTTGATAGCAGGAGTTCGTGCCAAAGGAAAGTCTAGTTAATAGTGCGATTTGCCTGCTATGAACAAACACGCATGACCTCATTGAGTTCTGATGGAAATTTTTCGCTATGAATCACTTTATAAATTCCACGTTTTTTTCTCTCTCTCTCCCTATCATCTTTGATTTTGCTAACTGATTAAAATGTGTGTCCCTAAGCCACATCAGTGACATAAGTGCACAGATTTTATTCATTAAAACATCATCAACAAAGGCCGGCGCCGACATAGTCACCGATATTAGTACCTCATTGCTGTTTATGGATTGAGCTGGAACAGCAGAACCGTTTCTAGGGCATTCTGTCTCTGATTTTCAAAAATCAAAGAGCAACTGAGAAGCTTTTATAGAGAGCAGAATAGGCGCCATTGGCTCCGAAGTTGTTTTTAGCATGTGAGCAGTCGGAACCACACATCGAGCGAGTTACTTCTAACATTGCTCTTCTCTTTTTCTGGGTTCCAGATATGGTGCGGAAAAAGAATCCCCCTTTGAGAAGCTTCGGCGGTGAAGAAGAGGAGGGTGAGGTGGTGGCGGCCGAGGCCACGGGCCCAGAGAGCGGGAACGCGGGGAGCCAGGCCTCAGAGCCCGACCGTGCTGTGGCCGAAGAACAGGAGGAACCGTCCTCCCCTGGCCCCATCAAACCAGACAGGCCTGACTTGCATTACTCCAGCCACAAACTGGCAGCATTCTACTCCAGCCGCGAGGGCACTGATACCGAACCGCTGGACTCTACCACCTCCCCAACGAACTCTGATCCAGGTGAGAGAGGAGACTGTGAGGACGACCGGAACAGTCTAAAACCCAGCACCCGGTCAGGCGGCGTCATCGTACAGGGCTGCACCAGTAACGGAGAGGAGAGGGACGCCACACACAGCCCGCTAGCATTGCTGGGCTCTGACAGCCCTCGTGGTGCGGCTGTCGAAGGCTCTAAAGTTCCTCCTGTTACACTTCATCCACAGAGGCCCATTGGGGGAGCGGAGGACGCCCCTAGCCCTCTGGGAGCTGAGACGGGAGCACCTCCACCCACCTCACCCAAACTACAAGACTTTAAGTGCAACATTTGTGGGTATGGTTATTACGGCAACGACCCCACGGACCTGATCAAACACTTTCGTAAGTACCATTTGGGCCTGCACAACCGGACGCGGCAGGACGCGGAGCTGGACAATAAGATTCTGGCACTACATAACATGGTGCAGTTCACAGCCCAAACACAGGCCAAAGACTCAGCGCGCCTCCTCGGCCAATCAGCTCAGAGCAGCTCTGCGGCGGAAGCAGGGTCACCCAGATCCTCCGTACTTAACGGCACCTACGACGTACAGGTAATCACAAAGCAGATTAAAGGAGAGAAATGTTGTTTCTAGATACATATTCATTCAATCCTATAATAAATAATAAAAGTACGGTAACACTTTAATATAGGGACCAGTTCTCACTAGTAACTAGTTGCTTATTAGCATGCCTATTATTAACATATTGGCTGTTCATTAGTACTTATAAAGCACATATTCTGCATGACCATATTCTACATCCCTAATCCCACTACCCAAAACCTAAACTTAACAACTACCTTACTATTAATATGCAGCAAATTAGGAGTTTATCGAGGCAAAAGTTGTAGTTAATGGGTTGTTAATAGCGAGAATTGGACCTTAAAATAAAGTGTGACCAAAAATACTAATAAGTAGTAAAAATACATTAAAAAATAGTTAACTAAAAAAACCTAAAATATTATAGTTTTTTTTTATTTATTTTTTTTACTGAAAATAAACTGAGCTACTGTTCAAAAGTTTGGGATCATATTTTTGTTTTGTTTGGCAAGGTGAGTAACAACATTTATAATGTTTAAAAATATTAAAGTTTTAAATTTCAAATAAATGCTGTTCTTTTCAGCTTTCTATTCTTAAAAAATCTTGAAAGCACAGTTTCCACAAAAATATTAAGCAGCACAAATAAAAGAAATGTTTCTTGAGCACTAAATCAACATATTAGAATGATTTCTGAAGGATCATGTGACACTGAAGAATGGAGTAATAGTTGCCGAAAATTCAGCATTGCCGTCACAGGAATAAATTACATTTTAAAACAGAAAAAGTATTATTACAATTTTCCATATTTTAAAATATGAATGTTTTACTATATTTTTGATGAAGTAAATGTAGCCTTGGTAAGAATAAGAGACTTTTTTCAAAAACATTAAAAACACTTACCAGCCCCAAACTTTTGAACGGTAGTGTGCGTGCTATGTCTATTTATGCATATTAGAGTTTTGCTTCATTCCACTCATCACCTGTATTGAAATCAAGTTAATCTCCCGTCTGCTTTGCCTGTGAAATGCAATTTAATGATACATGGACTTGCTTCATATGTAGAGTGTTCCAAATCAGTGACTTATGAAGGCTCGTTTCAGTTAAGATGCTGCCTTGGAAGGCAGCTGCCTATGTAGGAAGCAAGATGGCCTTATAGTTTTGGAGCAGTGCTTTAGTCAGACCCATGGGTCATTAAGGCTTAAAAATGATGCATGCACATGCAGCTGTGAAACTTAAAATTTATGTCACAGAAGTAAAACCACTAGACGGATGGTAACCGTACATGATGCATGCAAAGTCATGCACACGAAGAAACTCACACACTGATGAACATTGGCTGCATTAATTTAGAAATTTTGACTAGCCCTCATACAGTCTGTATTTGTTCATGCATGTGTTATAAAATAACGTCATGAATAAGCAATCAAGCTGCTCCATTCAAATTGAAATGCAGGCATCATTTGTCATATCACCTTAGTGATTTCTGATTTATAAAAACAAACAAAAAAATGTGAAGGAGATTAGTCTGGATCATGCTGGCACACTGTATTTGGCTTTGTTCTGTGACTTTGGCTGATTTATCGTAGCACTAGCCTCAGTGTATCATGTTTAAATGGACCATTATGAGCAGTTGCCTGCTTTGCACATGTGCATGTATTCAATCAAGCAAGCACACAGTGCAGCTTAGAGTACCTGATGTTTTTTTTCTTCTAATAACACCAGCCACGATCTTTTTCAATTCAACATCAGCCTGTCTACAAATTGTCGTAATACCGTATAAATTTTTAGGAAAAAAGTTTGAATAATGAGTCTATTCAGAATTCATTCCTAGTGGAATTTTCCATGCAGTAATATCGACGACTGCGATTTTCTCATTTTCCCAATGAAAAAAGGGGGGAAAAAGAGCGTAGGGAAGCTGGTGAGGGGAGCCAGTGAAAACACAGGAGTCGATTTATTTTAAACGATGGGTAATGAACAGATGTCATAGTCATTTATCTGCCTAACTTTCACCACGGTTTCACTCTTCACTTCAACAATGTCATGTTTACAATTTAAGCGGCATATTTAAGTTTGGCTTCTGCGAAATGAGCCAAGTTTGGAAGCGTTTAGCTTTAGTCAGTGCAAGGCTGGTTTACCAGCCAGATGTAATGATTTTAATTATTGCTAGATCACTGATGTAACTTGTGCTCACTTGTGTTTCTTTGTTTAGTAATAGGAATATTCAAAATATTATATATTTTTTATTTTTATAATATAATAACTAGACTTGTGCCGGTATTCGGTAATGCATAAGAAAAGTTATTAAACCTGTTATACTGTATTATGACAGCACTTTTTTAAAACTAAATTTCAATATCGTGATAATACCGTATACCGTGACAAAAGCATTAGCAATTAATCGCAACATGAAAATTTGATACCGGCATATCCCTAATAATAACATGCATTTTATTTATTATATATTTAGCATTTATATTGTATTATAGTTATTATCTATTTAATATTATGGAATAGTTATTTATTAATATTTATATTGGTAACTTGATTTCAGTACAGGTGTCAAGAGGAATGACTTTAAACTCCAATATGCTTAAATATACATAGCGCACATATTTTGGACAACATAGTGAGTTTTTAGGTTTTTTAAACAATTTTTGTAATATTTTAATTTTTTTACATTAAATTATTATTATTAATATTATTATATAATTTACTTGATTTACTATAACTTAATATATTTAATGATTAACAATAAATAATAACTGTACATAATTTGATGCACATCGCATTTATTTTGCCAAGTGACCTTAGCTGCGTTGTTCAGTTGTTATGGAGGATGTTTGTTTTTCTCTTTCTTTCTTGCTTGCTTTCTTTTAACCATAACATTAAAAAAATATATATTTCTTAAGAAAAGGTTTATGTAGTCTGTGTCACAAGTGCACTTTTCTTAAATGCAATTCCTCAGACAGGTGATACAGAGCAATCAGCTGAGACTTCAGTTTAGTCCACTTTCTATCTGTAATATGCTTGTGTAAGAATTATAATCAAGCACATATTACACTAAGCAGTGGGTGTTTATTTAATCATTGCTTCAACATACAGCTCAGGGGCTGCTCAGGGGAAAGGGCCTGTCTGTGCTGTGACATTCCTTGAGTGTTTTGTCTGGAGCATGACGTTGAATTCCCCACAGTGCATATGTAGCTCAAGACCTCCCACTCACACTCTCTTTTGGCTCTATAACTGCCAGCTAAATATTCCATATGCTTTCTATAGGCCAGACATCTATTGCATCTTAAGCCATAGATCTGCATGTCTATATTTTAATATACATGCAATTAAGAAATATTTTTGTTAGTTATGTTTTTTACTTTTCTTTCTTTTTAAATCCAGAATTTAATTTCAAAGTATAAGAACTAAAGTTACACCTGGATAATAATAATCAGAAAAGATCCATTTTGTCTCTGCATGCATGGTTGCTTTATTCTTTGACTCTTCTACAGGTTTCACATGTTCCCCATCTGCTCACAGAAGGATTTTCGAATTCTCAGTGCTGAGAAGTAATAAGAACATAAAATGTGATTTGCCTTTGTGTGGTGATAACTGCTGCCTCGTCTTCGAGATTGGGAGGGTTATTGAAAGTCTGTTGTCTGTCTTATTATATCAGACTTCTATTTCGCTGTAATTCTCTTTAACTCATGGATGATTGTTCTTTCCCTTTATCTCATTTTCTTTCTTTGTCATCCATTCCTCCCCCCTCTTGACTTCCCTGCTTTCACAGGTAATGTTAGCCGGCACCTTCATCGGAATTGGGAGGAAGACGCAGGACTGTCAGGGCAACACCAAGTACTTCCGCTGCAAGTTCTGCAACTTCACCTACATGGGAAGCTCTTCTGTAGATCTAGAACAGCATTTCCTGGCCACCCACCCCAACAAGATGAAGAGTCCGCCTCCGTCCAACACCAGCCTCGAGGAGAAGTCCTCAACTGAACGGAAGGGGAACTGCGTATCGCGCATTGGGGCAGATGAGCAAGGGAAGTGGGCCGATCGGGTGGCGGTGCGGGCCGAAGATGACTCTGTGGCTGGGTACTCCGTACCAATCAGGGCGTCAGATTCCCCTAGTCGCACTGGAGGTGACACCCCTGCCTCCTATTACTGGTGCAAGTATTGCAGTTTTAGTTGCGAAGCTACCAGTGCTTCTAGGCTTCTGGAGCACTATGAGAAGAGACACGGCCAGGCGGCCATCAGGGAGGGAAGTCCAGGGGAAAGGGACAGAAAGGCCCATGACGGAGACTCCCACTTACAGAAAAAGGAGAAGACTGGAGCAGCGGGCGACCAGGAAACGGTAGTAACCAGTTACAACTGCCAGTTCTGCGACTTCCGTTACTCCATGACTCACGGGCCGGAAGTCATCGTCGTGGCTCCGCTTTTGCATCACTACCAACGGGCTCATAGCATTCACAAGTGCACCATCAAACATTGCCCCTTCTGTCCCCGTGGGCTCTGCACTCCTGAGAAGCACCTGGGGGAGATTTCCTATCCCTTCGCTTGTCGTAAGAGCTCCTGCTCGCACTGTGCTCTACTTCTGCTGCAGCTAACAGCCGGAGGGACCACTACCCCATCCCTGCCAGCTCCCCGAGCGTCCGTCACCCATCAGTGTGACCAGTGCCCGTTAACCTCGACTGATATTGACTTGCTTCTCTTGCACTATGACAGCACCCACACCTCGCAAACCTTACTGGAAGTCAAACCAGAGGAGAAGGGATCAGGGGATGCAGGGCCAGGGACAGGACGGGACCATCCTGGAGAGTACGCCTGCACTAAGTGCCATTTCTTCACTGAAGTGGAGGAGGACATCTTTCGTCACTACAGGTAAAATCGCATAAGAAATCACCTTATTTTTTAGAGCATCTTTACTGGATTTATTGCTAACATTTTTAAAACTATATGTAATATGTGACTCATCCTGCATCGCTTGTGCTACAAACATGAATGATACCTCAAATTACATGGCTTGTTGAGGAGAGGTAGACTTCAATTTATGGAGGGACCCAAACCATATCTAGAGGTCTTAAGGGTGGGGTGTGTATTTATTAAAAATAAAGTAAGTTATTATTTTGCACTGGATTAACTCGTGCATCACTTTAACTCATAATATTAAACATAATATTGGACCTTTTAAAATATTTTGTTTAGCTTTCAATTATTTAATATTTTGATATTTTAGTTAAATTTAATATATTGTAGCAAATGACCATTGGACAGAGTGAACTGTTAAACAGTTTTTCTTTGGCAGCTTTGCTTTCACGCTTATACAATCCAATTCATTTTTATCTGTGTACATTTTAATAAATATAAAGGTCCAGTATTTGTTTACGTACTTATTTGAGCTAATTTATCATTTTTCTTGTTTAATTTGCTTTAGTTTAACATAAAAAATGTATAGAAACTACATAAACATAAACTACTAACAATAACAAAAAAATTAATAAAAATTTAAAATGGAAAATATAAAAATAAAAACTGATTCAAAATATTAAAATATAATAGTATCTCAATGACACTAAAATAACACTGATATTATATATATATATATTTATATTTTCATATTTTTGTAGCAAAAGGCATAGCATTGGACAGTGAAAGCAGCTGTTGATTATAGCCAGCAAGCTTGTGTTACACATTTGTTTCTGTGTTGGCGGTTTTGCTTTCATACTGATAGGTAACAGGTTTTCCTTTTTTTTTTGCACTTTACTTGATGTCGACCGACACAGCTGAATAAACTGAAAATGTTAAACGTCAGGGAGAAACTTTTCCTGCAGCAGTCCCTCATTGGTTTTGATTTAGCTTGTCTTGAGACCAGGTGCGTAGATGTAAATGTGTGCACTTTAGGTTTTGTGCAGTGGCTTTTTTTTTTTTTTTTTTTTTTTTTTTGTTTTTTTTTGTGTTTTCTTTTTTTTTTTTTTTTTTTGCACTTTACTTGAAGTCGAGCAACGCAGCTGAATAAACTGAAAATGCTAAACGTCAGGGAGTAACTTTTCTTACAGCAGTCCCTCATTGGTTTTGATTTGGCTTGTCTCGAGGCCATTTGCGCATGTAAATGTGTGCACTTTAGTGTTTGTTTGCGCTTGTGTGTGTGCGCGTACATATTTCTGTTAAGTGTGTACATGTGGGAAACTATTATACCTTTCCATATTCTTTCTTTCACCAGCTGTGTACTATGTACGGCGCGGATGAGTATGGCTCTGCTTTACCTTCACATAAGATCTCAATTACTCTCCATTTTCTGCCAGAGTTTACAGGCATGTCTACATGTGCTGGTTTGAATTTATTGATAAAAATGAGTTTACTGCACCACTGAAATCCATATGTCCGCTTGAGTTTGGCACAGTAGAAAGAGAACAGAAAGGCACTTTGCTAAATCTAATATAAGTGTTGTGTAAATACACCAAACCACCTCAATGCCACATATGTTTGATATTATAGTATATTCTGCCATATTATGTGCAAGAACCTCTTCTGAGCAATTTTACTACTGATGTTTACATGGCAAAATGAACCCAATAACAAAACTTTAATACAAATCGGCAGCATCTTGCATGTGCAATGGATTTTGCATTTATATGTATTTAAAAGTATTTTATGCTTAATAAAATTCACTGACAAATTCTTTAAATATTTAATATTTTTTTAGTTTAATTTTATAAGTATTAATTCTGGTACCAATTCCATTTAATGGTTATGGTTCCTAAATTATGATAGTGTTTTAGTGCCATAAAGAAAAAAAAAAAAACTAAAATGTCATTACATTGAGATTACAGATGTAATATTATGAGAGTAAAGTCATAGAGAATGTAACATCAATGTGATGGAGAACAGTAAACTCAATCAAGTCTGTCTGAATTTTTCTTTGCAATAAATTTAATTTCTTACATTTTTTCATAACATTATGACTGTATTCTCAATTTTGTTTTATTTTAATGTGACATTAAAATGCTGCCATGCTAGATTTAATTGAATGATTCTCAATAATTGGAAATTCTTATTGCATTCATTACTATGTGCAACCTGTTGCAAATGATCAGATCATTTCAGATTTCAGGCAGCAGAACAGTAAAAACGTTAGAAATCAATAGTAAAAAATAAGTCTTTTTTTTCTAACCAACCTTGTGATTTAGTTGGTTAGTAAGTCACATCTTAAAAAAAACAAAAAACTTTTTATTGCAAAAGTGAAACAGACACACGCACACACACACGTATACATCCTTTTTTCATGCAAGTATTGTATATTTTATTATTTTTTCCATCCACATCTGTTAAAGAATGCCGCTATTCTAGAAGTCAATGGAACCAAATGTAATAGATCAATTTGTTTAAATATTTTATTATTATTTTTAAGGAAACCTGTTTTGATTAAGAATCAAATTCTAACCCATTTATATTTCAGTCTACATGCATAAAGTAACACGCATACATAATTATAGTACAAAGACGTCGCACATAACTGCATGACAGACACAGTTTTTCTGCTATTTAAACTTTTTGAGTAATTGCACAGGTTCTCATGTTGTTAAATGATCAACGATCTAATCTGACTTGTCAAAGATCTTGGCGGAGGAATCATTTGTCAAGTTGTCGCTCTTGTCAGGAAACGCTGAATTTTCAGGCCTCCTACACCCACCTGTCCCCTAGAGAACATGTGTGAAGGTTTTTATACGTTTGAGTCTTGAGTGACGTCCATCATGATCCAGCTGCCCGGGGCTGGTTGTTTCAGGTGGACGTGGAGCAGAGTGTTTTCAGCCTGTGCGTGCGGCCTTTCTGAATAAGGCGCTGTTTGTATTCAGAGCCCACAGCCTGGAACCCGGCGAGGAGAGAGCCGAAATCAGACCTGTATGGCCTCCCTGGAGAGCTCCTGCTTCTCAGCTCACACCGTCCAGAGTGTGTGTGTGTGTGTGTGATCGAGAATGTGCATGTCATATTTTGTTTTTAAGCTACTTTTCCCTCATATACTTTTTTTCTCACCAGGCTTACGGGCAGCATGAGAATATTGTGTACACTTGAAGTACACTAGATTTTAATGTGTGGGCTACTGCATGCATGTTTTCAGCATTGTGTCTTCTATGTTATTGTATGAACATCTGTGTCATGGTATCCGATTTCATTGTGTGGAATCGTTCGGTGACCTCTGTGTGTGCATGCGAATGATTGTGTGGTCTGAGGAATCACTGATACATAATATTTCCCGTATGCGTTTCTCCTGAATATCTCGCTATAGTGTAGATTTATGAGCAGAATCCTGCCCTCTAGTCTCCAAACAGCAACCCACCCACCACGAACGTGAACCTGATATTGATGCTGTAGCCTCCCACACCTCGTGCCCACCTGATCCAGTGCACACTCAATATATCATGCTGCCCTCCAGTTCGGGAAAGGGAGACCTTTTACGTGCAGGAGCTGAAATGGCGAGAACACTGTATTGGATTTTGGACATGCTGGTTTTAAACTTTGTGTCAACTCATTGTGGGAGTCACTTAGAAAGGTGAAGTGTGTAATGTCTGCACATCTTCAGATGCATTGCTTGGATAAAAAGTCCCACCCCAAACGTAAATTGTTATTGATTGACACTGCAAGTGGTGACAAAGTTACACACTTCACCTTTATAAAATTAGCCGTCTGATATAGTGATATGCTGAAGTGAATTTTAGCTGAAAACTGAAATTAAATTTTTCATTTAAATTTGGGTAATTAAACGTGGTATGCTGTTTAGGTTATCATGTTCTCAGGTGATAAATTAAACCAGTCATAGTAAAGTCTAAAATCGATATTTCAGCCAAACAAATTTTACATACTGCCACTCTATTGCCACATCATTTTTGGTCACATTGAAGTGCGTTCACACTGCTGACATGTTTATGTGTTGTAGCTTGTTTACATGACATTGTTGAAACAGACAAATCGTGCCATCTGTGAAACACTAATTAGACTAAAACCAAAAAGTATATATTTTTCCTGCTATTTCAGCATAATATCCATTTTGAGTGTGGGAGGAGACTGATAAATTTTAAATCATACAGAAATGCAGTCATAATCCACATTGAAATCAATAGATTAGCTGCATGAATTTTAGTGTGCAAGTGCCTTTGTTTATTTCTAAGGAGCAACAGTTCTCTGAATGAGTCTTCACGTGTTTATCTCATTTTTTTTTGTAATGAGGGCCCCTTGTTTCCTTTTTGAGACCGAATGAGCCGATGAGCTCGCACTTTAACCCCCCACTGTGATTTTTCTTCAACCGGTTTTTCTGTCACTCGGTCAGGTAAGTGACAGGCCACGCTGTACCCATTTTTCCATTTCCTGTGTAATGTCATGGGGACGGTGTCGCTAACACTTCTGCTCTGCTCTGTGTCCTGTAAAATGGCAGTATTGAGTGGGTGTGCTGGTGCATAGCTAAAGGGCTTCATTTTCACAAGCGCAAATTACTGCCACTCAGTACCGTTATTGACATCGATATAGGTTCTCATCCATTTTTTCATGTTTTCAAGTATTTCCCCACTAAATCGATGATGTTGTTTTGATGCTTTGCAAAATGAAACTGGAAAAAAAAGTTAATCTATAACCTGTGTTTGCTATTAAATTGAAAGCATTAAGGAAATTCTAATGTACTTATGCTCATACAGTTTTGAATGATTACATGATTTTTGCTGGCCGTGCAGGTGAATGCTGACCCTTTATACAGTGATGATTACTGCTCTGCTTCAGTCTGAGAGGGGTGAAAGACACATTCCTTGCTACTGTTTCTTGTGACCCAGTCAAATGAAGTAGCCTGATTTTTAGAGTTGGGAATCAAGGGAAAAAGTCAGCAAGAAAAGGCAATGTCTTGGCTGATTTAAATCCTTTGAAGTCTTCTCACCATCGCCATGAAGTTATCACCGTCTCTGAAATGCCAGTCTGATGTTGATGAGTTGTGTTACAGACTCTGTCACTTTCCTTTATGCTTGTAAAGGAATTTTTTGTTTGTTTTAACAACAAATGATTCATCAGATGGTTGCCTTTTTGAATGATCCATTGTATTAATAATGTTGTAAGCTGTCAGAACTATTAATTCAATTCAAGTTTATTTGTATAGCTACGATATACAAATTTACGATACAAATCGTTGTAAAGCAACTTTACAGAAAATTAAGTTTCTACAATATTTAGTAGTAGCTTATCAGTGGTGACTGTCAGTGGTAACACACCTACCAGTGTGACGTAATCAGGCAAAGACTGACATTTCCCACAAAATCTGACCTGACAGCTTAAATTATAAATAATTATTTTAAGCTTGCCGTTGTAAATCTGGGTAAAGCAAGATCATTTGAAATTTTTTTTTGTTTGTTAATTTTGAACCAAAAAAAAAATAATCCACAGTTCGTCTTTCATTTTTGTAATTTTTTTTTTGTTGAATGGTCTTTGGTTCTGTTGACAACTTTTGAATGTCAGCTTGAACGTACTCATCTAGTCTGATAGTATTTCCTGCACCACTGCTGTTTTTCAGTGGTGCTACATGTACCTCATTATCAAGCAGATGCAGCTGGGACTAACACTTTATTTTGTTAATAGCCTTAATGTGTTTTTCTTAACATCACAGGAAATGTGACAACCTGTCAGCGTTTTAATTAAAACTCATTTTGAGGAAACTGTCATAATTACTGTAGTAATGCACTGTACTTGGGATTGACATTAACAGATGTTTACAGAAATCAGGTATACTTATTTAATTATTTACTTAGTGTTTAATGAACTTCAATGAGAGTATTAAGTTACATTCACTGTGGTTACACAAGGGGAATTGTTTTTGTTACTGCTTACTTTTTAAGTGAAATCATGTATCTTAACTTTAATCTTGAGTAGAAATATTTTAATTTAATCATTAAGCAAATTTACAAACAAAACGGATAGATAGATAGGTAGGTGGGTAGATAGATAGATAGATTAGCAGAATAAAAAGAGACAAACAGATATAAACAATGAAGAGAGAGGTATTATATACAATAGTTTGTGCAAAATACAATAATTATGTAATTTATATTTTTTCGAAAATAACATTTTCGGTACTGTCATGGTACTGTCAATGTAAGGTATAAACGTGTACGATTAAGTTCATGAAGGCATTGCATGTTAGAAGAATAAAGTTTCACATCAACTACACCATTTAAAAACTTCACTGTTAACAAAACTCATGCCAGAAAACAATCAGTTCTGGGTTGCAGGGTTTGACAAACGTATTTATGCTCCGTGTCAGTGACCAAAGAATACGATTTGTTTTGGAAGCAGCCCATGCTTTGTTGGAAAACAGTTGAGTCTTGGTTGGTGGTGGTGGGGGGAGAGCTAGTTTTGTCTGGTACTGATTAATGATAACTGAATGTATCTGTGTGTCAGTCGTTTATGGTAACTGGTCCTCATAAAACAACTTCACAGAAGTTTATATGGTCTTCAGATCATTGCAAAAATGTGTAGATGTGTACATTTCTAGATGTGTAGATGTTTTTCTTTAAATGAATTTTACCTAAAATATAGCAAAAGAAATGTGCAGTTATGTTATTTTTTTGGACTTTCCAAAGTAATATTTGTATGTGAGTACCTAATGTTTTTTGTTGTTGTCTGTAATCAGGGGTACATGCAACAGATCGTACACTTTCTCACAAAATGACTTTGACCTAAAATATAGCAAAATAAATGTGCAGTTATGTTGTTTTTTGGACTTTACAAAGTAATATTTGGATGTGTGTACCTAATGTTTGTTTTTTTTCCCTGAGATGTAAACATTGTATTGTCTGTAATCATGCAACGGATCGTATGCTTTCTCACACCTCACCGGTCGCTGGAATGCACCAATGTTTGATCTGCCCCTGCCTTCGTGCACCTAAGAGGAACAAATTACAGAACTGCATGCTGGGAAATTCAGGCAGCAGCAATGATGAAAAGCACTTTTCCACACTGTCCCTCGTTTGGTGCCTAGAGGAGCAAAGATGGCATCTAGCTTTTTTGCTCTCTTTCTTGCTCTCTTGCTTTTTATCCATCCTGGTTCGATACAGTGTCAGATCGTGAGAGGCTGTTTACTGGGTAACAGATCTTAGATTTTATTTATTTATTTTTTTTTTTTCTGTCTTTTTCACAATAAGGAAAATCTTACACTGAGATTCAGCTTGAAGGATAGGGCTCTAGTGAGCATTTATGATAACACCAGACACAGCTTTCATTTCCCAAAGAAGACAATTTGTGTCGAACTGGGATGGATAAAAAGTGAAAGAAGAAAGAGAGCAAAACAGCTAGCTGCTGATAGATTTATTGCATTTAGTCAGTTTTGTAGAATTCTGGATTTGTGAAAATTTAGCTACATTGTCAGTTTTGTATATCCTATTTTATGTGTGACCTGTTGTTTTGCTTACTTTTTTTGAGGAAAAAAACGTTAGATTTTTTTTGGTCAGGATTCTATGATGAATAGAAAGTTTAAACGAACAGCATTTATTTGAAATAGAAATCTTTTGCGACATTATAAATGTCTTTACCCTCACTGTCTTTGCTGTTTTTGATCAATCAAAGGTATACCTGCTGAAAAAAATAATTTATTTCGACAGAAAAAAACTTTACACACAAACTTTTGAACCATTGGTAATATTTCATCCTAGGTGCACAGAATACTCTGAGTTTCAACACTGTGTCTAAAGTCATTTGTATCTTATTTTATTGGGCTAGTCGTATTTTTATATTTAAGGAATATTACAGGAGCACAATGTGCTTTTATACAGCGGTTCTATAAATAAGAAGTTAATACTAAGTAACTTAAAAGGCAGATTTTATAAATATTTTTTGGAATTTCCCCCCCCGCCCCAAAATAATTCTAAAAGAAGCCAAAGCATCAAGCAGTGCATAACCACTATGTTTTTCCGTTTCCAAATATCATAGTTCTGCTGGACTTAGTAGATAGATAACAGCACTTTTGAAACGCTGCTTAGATTTGAGAAACCGTTGTATAACTATACAGCATCATTTGAATTCCTGATACTTGATGAGCATGTTAACGTGTTTTTTTTATTATAGTTATTATTTAATATACAGATGATCTTGGCAAATGATGTTAATAACTTAATTTGCCCTTGAACATTAAACACTAAGGACTTTTTTTGCTTTCGAAACCTCTCAATCTGTGTAAATACTTCATTGCGGTACAGTTAGCACTTACAGCCAAACCTATCAATGAATGGCCATTGTCCAAGCACGTCTACTGATGCATGTAAAATAAACATAGTTTTTTGGGTGGGGTACACTCGCCTGTACTTCTTTGACCGTGGTCGATTTCAAACAGGAAGTACAAGCTTATAGAAAATCATTGGTGTTTCTGGAGAGAATGTCACATTCATTTACCTAAAGGTTAGCAGACAGTTCATTTAGCTTTCCTTTGCGGAGAGTTTGGAGCAGCTCTTTGTTTCCTTTATTTGGAACAGAACAAAGAGCCATTATGCAGACAAAAATAGCTGACTAAACTGTAATTACACAACATTACAGAGATTCAGACCAAGCTCAGGGGGGCAGAGACGTCAGATAAGGAGAAAGTACACATACTCAGGATGTGGATTAGTCTTCTGTCTCTCAGATGGCTCTCTAGGGGCCAAATAGCATGGCAGTATATGAAATGAATGTTTGATCCATGAAGAATGATAAAAATCATGATTGCTGAGACTATCTCTTATCCTCTTTGCAGGAGAGTTCATGGCTGCTGTCGTTGTCGGCATTGTAGTTTCACTGCCACCGACACCACGGCACTGCTGGACCACTTCAACTCCGCCCACTGCCAGGACTCTGCGGATCCAGCCTCTGCTCCTGCCAACGGCTGCTCTGCTCCTTCAACCCTCCGCATCAAAGAGGAGAGCAAAGGTGATCTGAAACTCTATAGCCTGGTGCCTCCAGAGGCCTGCAGAGCCGAGCCGCTTCCCGGCTCAGAGGGCGTGAAGAGTGAGGCCCAGGATGAGAAGGAAAAAGGCTGGGTTGAAGCGCTGGGCCCTGTGACTGGCGGTGGAGTCCGAGGTGGGGAGCAACACGTGCAGAGCCTGGTGTGGGTGCCCAAAGAACGTGCAGGGGAGATCCTTAGAGGAAGCCCAGCCCCGTTCCCCCAGGCCACACTGGGTCTGCTGAACGCTGTGGCAGCTGGGGTAAAAGACCAGCAGCAGCAGAAGGGGGCGACCATGCTTAGAGACCCTTCGGGACTGATCTTCAGCCTTAGTGCAGATGCTAAAAGCTACCTGCCAGGGACGCCGATGAGCGGTGCGGAGAAAGCCGGGCAGCAGTACCCAACTTCTACCGAGGGCAAGAGTGCCAAGGAAGAGTCGCAGTCTCTCTTACGGGTAAGCGATGGTCTATGTCTGTCCACTCTGTCTGGACTTCTGTTTTTTTTTTGTTTTTTTTAATCTTCTTAGAAATGTATGCATTTCCTTTCCAGTTATTAAGCCACATGACCGAGCTGAACAATAAGGATTTTTTTCTGCTGGCACAGTCAGTTCTGCTAATATTTTCACTGGCCTCACTACACAAACTAACAAACAAATTACATACATTAATATATTGCTAAAAATGTTTTTATAAAATATTTCAAAAATAATTATAATTGAATGTACAATTTATATAATAATATAATTATATATAATTATAATTCTATTATAATATAATTATTATAATTCTATAATTAATAATATTTGTCTTTGTTTTATTGTTTTTATACTTTTTAATTGTTTTATTATATTCATATTTTATAATAATAAAATAATGTATTTTTTAAATATACAAATGTTGTATTTTAGCAAAATTTTATGTTTATATATACTGTATATTTTTAATTGCAGATTAAGAAATTGTACAAATAACTTAAAGGGTTAGTTCACCCAAAAATGAAAATTGGCTTGTGTTTTACTCGCCCTCGAAGCATCCTAGGTGTATATGACTTTCTTCTTTCAGACGAATCCAGTCGGAGTTATATTAAAAATGGTCCTGGCTATTCCAAGCTCTATCATTGCAGTCAGCGGGTGTTGCAGTTGAACAGTCCACAAGTTGTCAAATAAAGAAAGCGCATTCATAATAAAATGTGCCTCACACGGCTCTGGGGGGTGAATAAAGGCCTTCTGTAAGAAAAAATATCCATGTTTCAAACGTAATAAACACTTTTCTCTAATTTCCGTTATCCGTCATTCCGTGAAGCACGTTTTATTATGAATGTGCGCGCTTTATTGGACGACTTGTGGACTGTTCAACTGCAGCACCCGCTGACTGCAATGATAGAGCTTGGAATAGGCAGGACAATTTTTAATATAACTCCGACAGGATTCGTCTGAAAGAAGAAAGTCATATACACCTAGGATGCTTCGAGGGTGAGTAAAACACAAGCCAATTTTAATTTTTGGGTGAACTAACCCTTTAATGAATATACATACGTACATGATCAACGATTGTGAGATGTATTGACTGCGTAACACCAAAGACTATAGAATACCCAAGACGTGTCACTCGTATAGGTTTGAATGTGGAAAAATGCAACACTCAATATGGCCGCTCTATCGAGCGAATCCCCGCCTTCTGAGCAAAAGAGCCAATCCCTAATCGGTAAAGTCAGCATGTCACTGCAGCTGCCGTTAGAAGTCCCGGTTGCTATAGCAACAGTAAGCATTCTGAGGTGTTCGCCTAGGACTGTGCATGCGCACTGGCTGATCTTGCCTTACAAATAAGCTTTTTTAAATGCTATTTGAGCAAAATAAACAACATCTATGATACAGTTATTGTCAGATTTCATTGGTGATTTCAAATATGAAATTTAATCGTAAGCTTGGCAAACAGTTTTGGAGAATTTGATGTTTCCCCATTCAAAGAGATTTGAGCTGCACTTGCATGCCTGAGACGCATTTTAAAGATGGCCGCTGAGTGACATGACTCACCTTAAAGGGACTTTGGTAACACTGACCTGTTGTAAAACTCTCTCGCATTGCCATCCTTGCTTTGAGCCCTGACCTGAGAACATCTTCCAGGGTTTCTCTTAAGATGGAGAAGCAGTGTCCATGACAGTGAAGAGTTATCAATTACTTCTCTGTGACTATCATACTGAGCGGCATGCTGGGGTGGATTTGTGTGTGTGTGTGTGTTTCTCTGTGTCTGTGTCTGTGAGTGATCATCCTTACTTGGGTTTTAATGAAGTCAGTATGTGCAGAGACCCTCTGCAGCTCAAAAGCCTGGCCAAACTAATTGAGGTAGTTACCCAGAGAGCTGCAGACACAATAACAGAGCCATTGTGGTCCTCAACGCTGAGAGACAAACAAAACAAAAAACTGGAAAATATACTTTTTTGGGTCGTGGACTAAACACTCAAATCCAATTCAAAGATATAATGGGGAGTACAAGAGCATTTAAACAAACAAGGTAACAAGTAGCGATATGTTTTTTTTTTAGGGGCCGATACCGATATTAGGGAGTAAAAAATACCGATATTGATATATCGGCCGATATTCTTTATGTAGGTTATATTATAGTAGAGTTTAGTCAAAAGTTTGGACACACTTCCCATTTGTGTGTCCAAACTTTTGACTGGTACTGTATATAGAATACAGTATATAGCCTACATAAACAGAATATATATACATAAACACATTTTTTGCAATGATAACTGGTGTGATATGTGGTGATCAAATGATATGACAAACATAGGCCTATGTAGTGGAGGCAGGGTATTTAACAATTTAACAATAAACTTTATTATTCAAAATGAGTCTGACATCAGTGCACTTAACAGTAAACACCGTGTCTGCGCCACAACAGAAGACGACAAAGTGACCGTTGAAAATCATTTGAACTTTGTGTCAGCAAATTCTCGCAAATAGTCGTAATGTGATGTGACCGATGTGATAAGCATGAGTTCTGGGCCGCGGCGTGGCCGGTATAAACACCAGCATTGACTGAGTGGCCGTAACACAGGCTTAAATGCGCCGCAGACGCGTGCCGTGATGCGCAGATCAGCTCTAGTCTCTAAAGTCACTGAATTATCTGGCGTGCGGATAATTTGAAGCAGCGGACTCGGGTGAAGTTTGAGCTCATCCGCGCATCTCAGTAGCAAACAATGGAGCGCGCTCTGCCGGACAAACTAAGTAATTACACCATTCAGAAGCATTTAATCTGCGTTATGTTCTGTAAAAAAAAATGTCATAATGGCGGCATATTCGCAGATTCCGATATATCTGCGACAGGCTCATATCGGCCGATAATATCTGCAAAACGATATATCAGTCGGGCTCTAGTAACAAGGCCTCTACCTATGATCCTGGATTCATGAATAACGAATGTTAGCTGGCATTGTGACCTTTACCCTCAGAATTCAGATTGCACTGCACACCTCAGAGATGGACGTTATGACCGATACAGGCCTTGTGAGGAAGCAGTGCTCTGCCTAATCTGGCCTGGTGGATTATTTCAGTTAAATACTCACATAAGAGATCTTGTTACTTCTTTCGTACGTCACTATATTGATACTCAAAAATTCTAGTTAGGTGTTTGTCCTGCGTTTGTTTGCATTTTCTTTTTCTTTTTTTGGGATTAATTTTTAAAATTATTTTAGTCTGATTGTGCAGACTTCATTTGAACTTTATAAATAATTTCACCATTAGACATTCTCTCTATATAATACTTTTTTGGCTATTTATTTATTTTTAGTTTTTAAAGCATTTAAAAAACTAATTGTTTTACATGGAGTTTTCAAGATTCAGTGAAATCATTTGCAATATCTCATATCTGTTGTGTACTTTTTAAATCTATTTTTGAAACTTTTTATCTTTATTTATTAATTTTGTTTTTAAATTTAAGCTTCAACCTTAAAGTTTAAAAAGTTAAAAAATCTCCTATTGATTTACATTGAAATCTCAGTATTCAGTGATGTAATCGTAATATTTGTTTACTTCTATTGCAAGTAATCTGTTTGCATGCAGAATTTTGATTGCCCTTCTACACATTTAACCATTTATGACAAATGCTAAGTATCATGACACTGTCAAAGCGGCTCTGTGACATTTAATTCACAAATGATTCAAAATTTTTACATATTCTTTCTGCAGCGTTGCAAGCATTAATATTTCATTCAGAAAATGCAAATCTGGTTAAAAATTCCTGTCAATTTCCATCTGCATCAGTGTCAGAAGATGAAAACATCATGAAATGCGTGTTGGTTACAGTAAACGTAACACAATGACCTGTACGTAACGGCTGTCTTATATCTGTAACAATGTATTTGTGTTTGTGCCACCTGGCTTCCCATATGCCACAGTCTGTCAGGCACGTCAATGGGATAACATGGTGAATCTGACACAGTGGCTTCGGCTGCACAGAAGCATGTGTTAGGAGTGTATTAAAATCAGGATGTATAATGTCTTTAGTGTCACTATGATATGAGTAGCAATTCGGATTTCCTCATGCAGTTGTTAAAGGTGAGCAGGTGAAAAATGACAGGCGGAGACTGCTTAAAGATGCACAGCTAGTAAAAACAAGAGTTCTACAAAGGCATTTTTATGTAATGTATTCACTGTCTGACATTTGGAGCAGAAATGGGCTGCGGTTAAATGTCTTTCTCCAAACCCAAGGTCGTGCGATGGTGTGAATTCAACAGCTTGGCAATGTGTTCTGTATATTTATGTGTACGTTAAAGCTCCACGTTCCTCTTTGATCTCCACATTGGCTGACAGCGAGAAGAAGGAGTGGCTCTCCCGCAATTTTCTGACATAATTTCCGCTCGCTAGCCTCCTTGTCTGCCTACGTTTTAAGTGGAGCTCTGAGTAACAAGAGGCCCTTGCTGGGAATCGTTCCTTCCTGTGCATCTGCTGTCCAAAAGGCATCACTGATGCAACACGTTGGCCCAAAAAAGAAAAGGAAGGGGAACGGGAATGGGGTTTGCGAGCCGTACGTCCTCCCTGGATGGTTTTGGAAAACGGTTGGCAGGAGAAGAGGCCCGGGCGTGGTACGTTCGGTGGTTAAGTCATTAGGCTAGGCGTGTCAGTAAGTGTGTGAAAGCTTTGGGGTGGAGGTGGAGGCCTCGCTCTAGCCCTCAGGAAATGTTGAATCAGAAAATTTTTTGGGACTGTTAGGGCTTAATGGGACTCAGAAGGGATCTGAAGTCCGTCACAATATTTTTTGAGTTACCATGACTTGGCGTGTGAGTCATCTATCATATTATGAAACCCGGCTCAGCCAGGGAGGGGTTCCTTACCAAAGAACCTGAAGAACCCAGTCTGGAGCCAAGGCTCACACAGACCTGTTTCAGGACTCGGACTCGGAGAGGAGATTGATAACTCTGACGGAGACGTTGTGATGAAGGGGTTTGGCT